CGGGGCCGGGGCCGGGGCCTGCTATGGTCACACGAAAGCTGGACACAACCCAGCAAAACACATCTTGGGGCCCTCGCCTGAGAGCGGGTTTGGTCCGTTTTACAGCTGAGGGGCTGCTTCTGTGGTGGAAACTGCTGGGTGCGGCTGGTGTCCACCATCGCAGCGAGCCAGGGCCTGTGCGGCCAGGCTGCACTTACTGGATGGACCAGGCACAGATACCTACCGTGTAGCACGGGCTTGGCAGGATTTGGGGCCATTTCCTCTTGCCCTGGTAACACCTGTTGGTCTGAGCCCTGTTGAGATTTGTGGTTCCCAATCTTTTCAGACTCCAGGGGCACATCGGTACATCCACACACCCCTTGGAAAATGCTGGCTCTTAATTTTTCACTCATTTTTGGACTGCAGATGAATCACAGAGCAGTTCTCCTGCAGCAAAGACCTCAGACCACAACAGGTCAGAATATGTTGGATGCTGCGGATTCCTATTTGAAATCTCTGGGTTTATCTTGTGAAGGATGTTGGCACGGTGCTAATATAGCACATGTCCTGCGGCACTCATGAGCCTGAAGTTGGTTCCTTATTCCTGGTTCCTTAATAAAAGTTTCTTGTTAATGAATTACCTACCCTAAAAAGAGAATTTCATTAGCTATGCATATTTACTAATTAATACATAAAATCATATCTTGCATCAAGTACAGAGCCCTAAAGGAAGATGAGATTCAGATGGGATTATGGGGCAAAATACTTCTTGGGCCACCTCCTACTTCCTGTCAATGCCCCCGAGAGACTGTCCCAAAGAACCCCGAGTGTAGCTTGGCCCTGCTTGGCTGCCAACTGACAGCCCCCAGCCACTGTACTAAGTATGTGGGCTTGAATAAGGAACTGGCTTTTGGGCTTGGATTATGGCAGGAAATCCTTGGGCCACCCCACCCCATGACTCTGTGGCCCGGCCCAAAGTGCAGCTTCTTTGTGCCAGGCTGCCAACTGACAGCCCCCCATGCCCACCGCACTAAGCACGTGGACCCAAATAAAGAGCTGTCTTTTTGGCTGGGATTACAGATGGAAATCCTTCTTGGGCCACTCCATAACATACCTCTGTGCCACCCTCCCACCCAGACAGCTCTGACCAGAAATCATCACTATCTGTGGTGTGCTGCCAGATAAAAAAAATCTTTTAATTGTATCTGAGTATTGTAGAAGTCAGGTTGTAAAATTACCTGAAGGTTAAATTGCCTGAGGGGGATTAGGTGCTTCTGACCCTTTTAGCATTTCAAATGTAGTCACTTGACTCCAAGACCTCCCCTACCATATGGTTTGGGGTGGGTGTGGTGACTTTCTTTCCATTGTCTCCTGTTCTGGAGGCCTATCTTGCTGCTTTGGGCTTTGCAATCCTTCTGCTCATTTACTGCTGAACTTTGGTTTGTCTGCTATTAATTTTGAGTGTCAAAAGGTGAGAAATCTTTGTATGGTAGGTACACATTTTCCTATTGAATTTAAGGATAATGTTTCAGGGGTTGGTTTTAGATCTCATATAGGGGAAAATAGAAGAGTTGAGATGTAAAGGAGAACATATTAATATATACCCTTCAGGGAATATTTACAAGTGTCTCTATAGCAATCAGGATCATTGAACCTGTTTTATGAATGTGTTACTGTCAGTATACAAAACTCAGGGATAGCTGGGAGGCTTAGGTTGTGTCTACACTGCTTGACAAAAAACAGAGGTGTGGGCAAGCGGAAAAGATTCCAGACAGGAGTCACTCCTGGATGTTTTCAATGAACTCTTCAGATTAAAAGTGCTTCTTCTGAATACAGTGATCTGTAATGGGTCTACATGATATTATACTAGAGTATTATAGTAAAAACAGCTGAAAAAAATCCCACTAATGCAGGGCAGAACCTGAAATATCTGGGGTTTCATGGCAACCTGAAGAGGACAAGCAGAAACCCCGGCAGGGCAGAGGAGTGATGGATAGCCCCAGTGGTGTGCAGGAGCAGCAGAGACGCCCAGCAGAGCAACAGAGAGCCCCCACAGCGGTGTGGAGCAGTGGAGACCCCCCAGTGGATCAACAGAGACCCCCTGGCATCATAGAGGAGCAGCAGAGATGCCCCAGCAGCATGGAGGAGTGGCGGAGACCCCCAGCGGAGTAATAGAGACATTTGGAGGTGGCATCCACAGCAGTGCTTCCTAGCATTGAACACTAGCAACACTCTCCTGCATCAAGTCAGTAGCTCCTGTCTGGCCCTCACTAGCCAGCTCATGCTACTTTGGCTGTCATAGGTGATAGAAGCCCAGGAGAAGGGCAGCCACCGTGCAGAGAGGAGGACATGGACCTGCAGCAAAATACATTTAGATTGGATATCTAGAAAAACCTTTCACTTTGAGAATAGTGAGGCAGTGGAATAGACACCCAGGGGAGTAGTGGACTCTCCATCACTGCGAGTGTCAAGAAGAGGTTGAACAGCTATTGGGCAGGAATGATTTAGGCATGTTTGTGCCTATATGTGTCGGGGTGTTTTTAAGCCTTCTTCAGAGGCACTGAGTGCTGCTACAGCTAAGGCCAGGGACTTGAAATGGGGTATGCCAATCCTCCTGCTAGGAACAAAGCCAGAGGGTCATGGCTGGAGAGTCTTGCCCTTTGTCAGGGTCAGACCAATCACCATATTTGGGGTCAGGAAGGAATTTTACCCCATGGTCAGATTAGCATATGGACTGTGGGGTTTTTGCCTTCCTCTGCAGCAGGAGCATGGCCCTCTACCTGGGAATCGCTGCACCATATATTGATAACACTTCATAAAAGCAGGACAGTGGCTGGCG